ATAAGACATCACAACCGACAGCGGAAAGATATAAAATATTCCAAGGAAGCAGATTAGAAACCTAAACTCTATTGAATGACAAAAATCGCAAGGACGGGAGTAAATTTCTAAATTCACTGAAACCACTAAAAATCAACTAGGAAGAGATCAACGGCTTGAAGAGGTCCACAACAAATAAAGACATTAAAACGGCCAAACAAAACTTTGTGACCAAGAAAAGCCCAGGCACAGTGGGCTTCACAGAAAAGTTTTAGCAGCAAGTCAAGGAAGATTTACATCTAGTGCTAGTTCAGCTGATGTGAAAACCGGAGAGAAACGTATGAGCCTCAAAAGCTGATTGAAGATTACACATATGAAATCCACATGTGAGTGCACGTATGTATAGCTGGATTCCCTTAGTCTGTCCGCTTTCTAGCCTCGGAACCAGGCCCACTCCTGCTCTTGTGCCTGAGATCTCTGGCCTAGCTTCCTAGCCCAGACTAGCTCAGTCCTGCATCTTAGTTTGTTCGACCGTCCATAAGCCGGCCCCACTGACAGCTTCCCCCTGGTCTCCTGAGCTGCCTGCCACAGACCTGCCTACTAGCTACTAGGTTAGATGTGATCCACTGCAACTTGATCCCTCATAGGCTGGGCAGCTCCTGTCCCTGCCCCCTTTTAGCTTGAGATAGAAGAGAGAGAGTCTTGGGCTAGGAAACAGAGTCTTCAGACAGTTGGTGAGTAAATCACGGGACCTCACACCAATGGTGACAACATACACATGTCCCAGGCAAACTCAAACCAGACAAAATCCCAGCATAGACGCAGGAAAGTGGGTTGCAAATCCCAACCGAACGTAAGGAACTTTTGGAAACTGATGGCTTCTGGGATGGGGAGAGACAGTGTCTTACAGGGAGGGGACTGTTGGTGCCTCAACGGTTTTTAAAAAGAAGAAACTTCCAGCCACTTGTGAAAGAGATGTACTCTTGCTCTGGAGTGTGTTGTTGAATATGTAAAAGCTGTAGTGAAATGATTCTTCTAATCATGTAGCTATTAAAAATTAAAAAAATAATGATTAAAAAAAAAAAGAAAAATCGTCAGCATTTTCTAACAGACAGTTACAAGCTGTGAAAACAGAGGAGCCACTGTAAACCTCCTTCAAAAAGTGGAAAAACAGGTTCGGCGAAAAACAAAGGCTGTTTCCCCGTCTCCCCACCCCTACTGTGAGGCCTTTGTTAGCTCTGAGGTCCATCTGGAGATTCTTCCTCCCCTGGTTCATCCTGAGACGTGGCTTGGTGGTTAAGGCACCGTCTGTCCTTCCAAAGAACACAGGTTCAATTCCTGCTGCCTTAAGTCATTGGTTTTTCTGTCCCTTCCCATTCTGTGTCTCTCTGTTGGTTTCGTTTCTTTTTATACTGTTTTCACTACTAATAGAAATCTTCAGGTAGTAGTCAAGAGAAAACATTTCAGTCAGTAAACAAGTATATATTTATGTGCATCGGGGACGACACTGTTTCTACACTAGAGTTTTTGCGTGCAGAGTCAGTTTATGGCAC